CATTTTGATACTAGAGGGCTAATATAACACTTACAGCATGTGTTGCCTTCATTATAAGGCTTATATAAAGCTTTTATTTTTTTGCGGCTCCAGACAGATTTTTTTTTTTTTTTGGTCCAATATGGCTCTTTCAACATTTTGGGTTGCCGACCCCTGCCATAGAAGAACCATTTTTGGTTCCCCAACAAACCTTTCACTGAACAGTTCTTAAAAGTACCATTTTTCTTAGTGTGGAGAACATTTTAATGAATCTTTAAAGAATCTTTTCTACTATAAAGAAACTTTTGTACAATGGAAAGGTTTTATGGATGTTAAAGGTTCTTTTTGGTAACATTGATGCCAAGGATGAACCTTATTTTTAAGAGTGGAATGAAACATCCACATAAATCGGAGCTTTAAAATGTATCATGTTGCCTTTCTAAACAATCCCATACCTTTTGTTTTCACCTCACAAAGTCAAGTATAAATCATCAGGTCAAATATAAATTATACTCTACAGTTCAAAAATTGGGGTCTATTTTAAAATGTTTTTATAAGAAATCTATTATGCTCACCAAGGCTTCAAACATACAGTAAAAAAAGTAATCTTGTGAAATATTAATAAATTTCATGATTTCCATTACACGAGAGTAGATGTTAAAACTTCATGCTGATTTGTACTCGGCTTTCGCCAAGATAAGCAAAACTAAGACGTAGCTTTACAGTAAACTATGCTTCTCCATCCATTTACGCTTCTTTCCATAAGGTAATTTGACTCCCCTTCTGTCCGGCGTTAACGGCAGCAGTGTACTTGGCGCGTTAGCGCACGCGACGGCTGCAACTACAGGACCAGCACGACAACCGTCTGGATTGAACCGAGTAGGGGACATCCCTAGGGTCTTCAAGTGGGCACCTTCCGTCCTCAGTGTTTCGTCGACTAGCCCACGACACCTCAAGAGGGCTCGACAGTGACTCTGGCGTCCCAGAGTCACCCCCCTCCGTCCCCCACTCAACTCAGCCCAGCTTACTGACCTCTACATCCCTCCTGCTGCTGAGACCTAACCACAATATCACAATCTCTCCGCGACCCAACCATACGCGCCAACCCGTTGACTAAGGCTGTCGAGCCCCACTGGTGCGTTAATATGCAGTTTCAGTGGACAACGGTTCCGTATGGCATACCACCTACCGCAAAACACAATATCTGCCCAACCACCCGTCATTCACGCAATATCCACAGGAACGTATACAAACAAACCAACAGACTCTTCAAGTTTTCAAGAACTCTACGAACCCGTAGCGTGGCGGCCTGTACACAGCCAGCTAGAATCTTTCCGTCTCAACCACAGCCAGTTGCTGCTCCTTTCTGCTGCTTCAGATAAGTTCTTTACTGTGCGACGCAACTCTTGGCCACTGAATCCGACGTCTCTGAGGAACCGGGTTGTAGAATGTGCCACAAAACCTCGACAACCCACTTCCACTGGATAAACCTGGACTCTCCATCCTCGCTGTTCTGCTTCAGTGGCCAGATGAGCATACCGCAGTTTCTTCCTCTCATATGCTTCATCTACCGCATCCTCCCATGGCACTGTTAACTCTATCAGTTGAACAATGCGTGCTGATCCAGACCACAAAACAATATCTGGTCGTAGGTTAGTGGTGGCAATCTCAGGTGGAAAAATAAGCCGTTGGTCAAGATCAGCCAGCATCTTCCAGTCCCTAGCAGCTTCCAGTTGTCCTGGGCGAGAATTGGTGTTAACACCTTTTCTTGGTGGTTGCTCGCCTGGGCGGAGAAATAATGTCTTCTGCGTGTAATGTTTTGCTAGAACAGGCAGCAACTTATTGGTCATGTTACGCTTGCCTTCTAATGCTAAAGCCAAACATCGCAGTACTTGGTCATGGCGCCAAGTAAACCGACCTTGGCTAAGAGCCACCTTACATCCTGTCAAAATGTGCCTTAATGTGGCAGGTGATGAACACAAAGGACAAGAGGGATCCTCTCCTACCCAGAGGTTTAGGTTCTGCGGTGATGGGAGAACATCATATGTTGACCTAATAAGGAAACTGATCCTACTCTCTTCCATTGACCAAAAGTCTTGCCAGCCCATCTTACGTTGTTCCACACTCTCCCATCTCATCCACTCTCCCTGCTTGGCCTGTGAAATGGCCTTTATACACCTCATCCTCTCCTCCTGCTGTCGCCCCTCGTTGACTACCAGCTTCCTCCTTTGAGCTGGGCCTGCCTTGTGCCATTTAGAAGGAGCTAAACTGAGCCCAAAACCCCCTCTTCCATGCTGTACCTGTCCCACGATATCCCTAATTTGAAGGGCAGCCTTTGCCTCTACTACAGATTTCTTTGCTGACCACTTTCTACCAGTTTTTAACACAGGGGCTGCCTCCCTTACACATTTGTCGCGTGACTCTACTAAGGTCATTTCCAGTCTGACCTTGGCACACTTGAACTCCTCGGTTAAAGCAGAGACGGGCAGCTGCAATATTCCTTTACTATAAAGTCCTACTCTGCTGAGGCAGCGTGGAACTCCCAACCATTTCCTGATGTATGAACTTACCAACGCTTCCAGCTTATCCACTGTTGTCAAAGAAACCTCGTACACGGTCAGTGGCCACAGCAACCTCGGCAGTAGACCAAACTGAAAGCACCAGAGTTTTAGTTTACCAGGTAGAGCACAGCTGTTTATGCTCTTCAACCCTTCCACTGCTTGTCGTCTAACTTCTCCCACCCGAACTGTGTCCTTTAGATCCCCATCGTACCATCTCCCAAGACTCTTCACTGGCTTCTCAGAAACTGTTGGTATTGCCTCACCATTAATGAAGAATGTTTTATCTACTACCTTTCCTTTAACTATCGAGATGCTCCTTGATTTAGAGGGCTTAAATTTCATTCGTGCCCATTCAATATTATCTGTTAACTTCCCCAATAACCGATTAGTGCAGGCTACTGTTGTAGTCATGGTTGTCATGTCATCCATGTATGCTCTGATTGGTGGTAGTCGCATCCCAGAAGCCAAGCGCTCTCCTCCTACTACCCATCTTGATGCCCTCATGATTACTTCCATCGCAGTGCTGAATTTTGGAGTTGAGAAACTGAATTGCAAATCTCCAAAATAGGCTTTCACTAAATTTGTTATTGACATTGGTACTCTGAAAAAATCAAATGCTGCACAAAGAAGCTCATGTGGCACTGAACCATATGCATTAGCCAAATCCAGGAATGTCACATGGAGCTCCTTCCTCTCCTTTTTAGCTGACTGAATTCGTTGCCAGATAACATTGATGTGTTCTAAGCATCCTGAGAACCCTGGAATACCCGCTTTTTGAACTGAGGTGTCAATGAAGCCATTCTTTAACAGGTAGGTGGACAATCTCTGGGCAATAATGCTGAAGAAAATCTTACCCTCAACGTTTAATAGTGAAATAGGACGAAACTGACTGATGCTTGTAGCATCTTTTTCTTTAGGTATAAAGACTCCACCTGCTCTGCGCCATGCTCTAGGTACAACCTGTTTTTCCCATGCCACTTTTATCAATTTCCACAGAATTCGCAGAACTCCTGAAGCACTCTTGTACACTCTGTACGGAACTCCATTAGGCCCTGGAGATGATGAAGCCCTTGCCTTTCTCACAGCCTGCTCTACCTCTTTCCACTTAGGTGCACAGACCTCCATTTGGTATTCTGGTGGGTTGATAGGTGGTATGTCTGATGGAATTGACATAGGCTCATGCCTTTTTGCATCTGTATGCGTGTCCTCCAAATATCTCTCTAGCTCAATCCTAGATGTTTTTAAAGTGCCATTCTTCTCACTGCTGAATAACTTCTTTACGAATTTGAATGGGTCTTTATAGAAATTAGCCCTAGCACGTTCCTTCTTTTTGTACGGAAACGCTATTATTATTTATTATTATTATTTAATTATTATTTAATAATCATAATTTAATTATGATTATTAAATAATAATTAAATTATTATTTAATAATCATAAATAATAATTTTCTTTATTTCTATTATATTTTCTTTATTCATATATTTTATAATGTAATTTATTTCTGTGATGGCAAAGCTGAATTTTCAGCAGCCATTGCATCCTTCAGAAATCATTCTAATATGCTGATTTGCCGCTCAAGAAATATTTCTAATTATCAATGTTAAAAAAACAGTTGAGCTGATTCATATTTCTTTGTGGAAATCGTGATAATTTTTTTTTTTTTTTTGATGAATAGAAAGTTCCAAAGAACAGTATTTATTTGAAATAGAAATATTTTGTAGCATTATAAATTATTTTACTGTCACTTTTGATCAGTTTAATGCATCTGTGAATAAAAATACTCATTTATGTAAAAAAAAAAATACTGACCCCAAACGTTTAAACAGTAGTGTGTGTGTGTGTGTGTTACATTAAAACACCCTTTTATAAAAGATGCAAAAAAGATATTGTCATCTCTGCTTCTTGGTGTCCATAAAAACACAGCTACCTTGATTTCATGTTCTGTTGCTAAATACACAGCTAATCCTAATTATCCTAACGCAACCACAAAAGGCTTACTAAATGCTATTAAAAGTTAGCTATGGCTTTGCTTGTTTGAATAAATTACAGCAGTCATGAATTCTCAGCAAATAATTGCCCACCAGGTTCTCCCCAAAGAAAGTCACATGATTACAGTTTGTGTGTAAATATCGCTGCTAAACTACAGCAGCAATAACAGGTCCCAATAACAGAGACAATCTTTCTCTTGTCTCCAGAGCTATCAAAGACTAATCAGAAGAACTCAGAAAAAGGCTTTGGCATAGTCTTTAAATAATGTGATATTGGTTATGATGCTAATTCAGTCATAATGACTGATAAGACTCTAAAGAGGTTGCAGCACTACGAGTGAGTGACTTTAAAAGATGTTATCAAGAATGATAAGAAATAGAATAATGTTGAAAACACAAGGAGAAAGACAGGAGGTTTATTGAAATACATTTTGCATCTCTTTATTTATTGAAAAAGATATTGACATACCTCTCTGATCACTGACATGGCTGAAGTAATTTGGACAGGGGATGGTGACCAGCTCTCCAATCCTGGCTGATGGCCAACACGCTAGATCCCATTCACCTGTGCAACCTGACCACAGAAATGAAGAAAAACTGATTAGGGGATGGAAACTGACAAAATACTGCTACCTAATCATGTTTTAATTGGTGATAGGATCTAGATTGTATCTTTAATTGGACAATAGAATCCTGTACAATTATTTTGGTTCTTGACACATCAAACTTCCATAAAAACATTCCATGAGATTTTTTTTTTCAATTGGTTTTTGATCGGTTCTGGAATTACAAATTAAAGAAAATTTAAAGTCATGATGTAACGTAAGTAGCAACAGATCTTTTCTTTCAAGTATCAAGGGTGGGGAATTGGTTGGCTCAATACATCTATCGGTTGTTGATTGAATGGAGAAAAATCTGAAAGCAAGTTTTAAGTTGATTGTAAGAAAGGGACTAAATGATTAGAGAAGTCCGGCATACGTCACCAGTCTGTCATTTCACCGGAAGATCGAATTATGACATTTTGTTTAAAAATAACAAATTTTAATATAAAAACATATGCATGGATGAATCATTCACGATAAGATCAATAACATACATTTAGATAATAGATAGGGTGAGTTTAAATTGTGTTACACCATTTTTAATTCTTTTTAAGACTTAATTCCATATTTAATTCTTCGCTCTGAGAATCAAATAATTTTAAAATCCAACTGATATCAGATTTTTATAACAGACTGGTCTACATGAAAAAGAGAAACCAATCAAACACAATGCCATGGGACTGAGCTTTAACTCACAGTCTGTGAAAACAATTTGCATATTGGTCTAAAATATATTACTCAAGGGAGATTTGTGATTGAGATTTACATCACAGGACACACAAATGACAACACACAACTTTGACACACTAGCCACAATCAGACCTCAGTTTCACACAACTAGCTTTTGTAATTGCTTTGTCCATTAAGAACAAAATCAATATGAGATTAGGCAGGAATAGGCAGCGTTTCTGTTTGATGAGGTACATGCCCAATAGTCAAGCACTGAAGCTCTTGGTGAAGTCCACAAACTAAGACACCTACGAGTTTAATTTACTAGCTTTTTCACACACACAAATCCCTGTAAATGATTCCAGTAATTAAGGTGCTCTAATATGTGATGTGTTATTAGAATTTGCAATTAAATGTGTGTTATCATGGGTCATTTGTGGTTATTGTCTTCCTTGCCAGTAATGAACAGTCAGGATAAAACTTGATCTCACTAGTGACCTTTTTTTCATGTTTTTCCATTATCACAGCAACATCAGACTTTAATTTTGAGGCGAAAAAAGGCGTGATTCATATAATTTCAGTGATTTTTAGCAGACAAAAAAGCATCATTAGTTGGAAAAGGCTCTACAAGGCTATAAGGGACTTAAAGGGTTAGTTCACACAAAAATTCTGTCATTAATTACTCAATCTCATGTCGCTCCAAACCCGTAAGACCTTCATTCATCTTCAGAACACGAATGAAGATATTGTTGATTAAATCCGAGAGCTTTCTGACCCCCCTATAGACTACAATGTAATCATTACTTTCAAGGCCCAGAAAGGTAGTAAAGACATTGTTGAAATAGTCCATGTGACTACATTGGTTCAACCTTAATGTTATGAAGCAGAGAACACTTTTTGTGCGCAAAAAAACGAAAACCAAAATAACAACTTTTTCAACAATCTCTTCTCTGCCGTGTCAGTCTTGTCACATAGTAAACACAGTGTAGTGTGTCCTGGTTCTACGTGAGAACGCCGGCTCAGTATTGGCCGGCTCCTGCGTCAGAATCACACACATGTGTCGTGCTGCCCACGTGAACAAGCGTCAGAGACTGACACAAAAGAGAAGAAATCTTTTTTTGTTGGCACACAAAAAGTATTCTCGTCGCTTCATAAAATTAAGGTTGAACCACTGTAGTATTTTAACAATGTCTTTACTACCTTTCTGGGCCTTGAAAGTGGTAACGTTACCATCTTGCAGGGTCAAGCTCTCGGATTTCATCAAAAATATCTTAATTTGTGTTCCGAAAATGAAAGGTCTTACGGGTTTGGAGCGACATGAGGGTGAGTAATTAATACCAGAATTTTCTTTTTTGTGTGAACTAACCCTTTTGATAAGATGAAATGTGGCAGTGTGAATTTGGACTGAACTGAATTCTGTGGGTACCACATGGATTTGCTCTCTGAACAAAGTCTAAGATCTTATCAGTAATGGAAAAATAATGCATAAAAAACTGATTTTGTTAGCCGCAAGCAAAAACAACCTGCTGAGCCACAGCTCTGAAACAACCACTGATTAAATCATGCAGATAATGGCAGTGAAACCACCCGATGTTGTGAAGATCGCACTGCACAGAATGACATTTCTGCCTAATTAGCCAGCATGCCTTTGTAACCTCTTCTAAAACCTGATAAGTTATGACCCAGTCACCCAGAGAAGCAAATACAAAACCACAATTATCTAGCCAATGTCTGTAGAGGTTTGAGCTGACTGCAGTCTGTGGAAAGATGTGAGGGGCAAAAAATTGACACCTTTGCAGATATGCAGAAAAACAGCAGAGCTAAATTTGTGCACACTACCTATTTAATCCGATCTTAACACACTTAAAATGTTGCTCTAGCAGTATTAGGCCAACCTCATATTCCACTTTTTTTTTCTTTTTCTTTTTTTTTTACGCTGCTTTATGTTTGCAGTGCTCCTGTATGGAGTTATGCTGCTATTTCTAGTTGATGAACATTTCTAGTTGAAGTGATCACATTCAAAGCAGAGAGCTTTAGGATTACAATCACAGAACTTACTGGTACACTGTAAAAAAATATTTGTAGTTTTTATAGAAAATGATGGTAAAAATGCTACAGTAAAACCCTTAATTTATTAACTGGTTTACCATTGCATTACAATTTTGCAAGAAAACCTATGAATTAACTATGAGAAAAAGTAAAATGACTTTCCCAGAAGTCCCTGTGTGACACATCACATGTTTCATTCAGTAATGTACATTAGGGCATTTTATGTTATAGCATTATTTGAGTGTTGCCCTGTTGGTGTTTTGTCTTTTTGAGTATGACCATGTGCACCTTCTGCATCTTCTGCATAAGTACTGGACATGTTTTATGGACAGGTCACTAATGATTCATCAAGTGGCTTTCTGTTGTTCCACCTGTATTATTATGGTGGTTATCAGTACATTTTAAGGTTAAAGGTTGATTTTGGTAACCATAGCTGTCGATTTTTACTAAACAATTGAACAGAATATTCTTTTTTTACAGCGTATATCACCAATAAAGAAATCACACTGTCTTTACATGCATACAGTTGTCATACAGTGAAGGATACGCAGTGTACATACCTGACGTGATGTTTTCCAGCTTGGACAAACACTCCCTTTTCTCCGCTTCTAGCTCCCACATGACCTCACACATCTGGACAGACAGCATCTGTACAAGATTCTGACATGAGGTATGTTTTCTTGCAATAAAATATATATACATTTTTTGAAGTTACAAAAAATAGTACATCACATTTCCGAATAGCAACAGACCTTTGATCACATTACAAGCTGAACATAATTACTGTTTAAAGAGAATGAAGTGAACTGGTTGCACACTCTCCCTTTTCCTGAGTGTCATGGAGATTTGATGAAGGGTATGACAATTCATGTTGTTCCTTCCATTTTACATAGCAATTTAACAAGTGTAGCATAAGTACCTGAGCTATGCTGAGCTCTTAATAATGTTTCCTTTTACCTCTGTCGATCCCTAAAGAACTAACCTCTTGACATATATATGGTGGAAAAATGTACAACATAAATTATTTGTCTCTGCAGCTGTATCCAATTTTCCTTAAAAATGTAGGCGGTATTATATAAGAATATGCTCTCATGGATTCCTCCATAAAGCACCAGAGGACAGTGAGATTTATGGCAGGTACTCTGGCAGATGAGGCCATTGAGAGGTGGCATCAATCAAAACTTCACTGTAGAGCTATATGGTTACTCCCAAACCAGTATGCTTACAGAAAGACCATCTGGGTCAAATGTTACTCCAGTGTACCTAACCAGTATGTGTGACCAACAGCAGTGTTTTGCCCATCAAAAAGACTCAAAAGTGCCTTCATCAACACCGGACCAGAAACGTGTGCCTTTTAACTCATATTTTTCTGAATATCATTTAGTATTATGATTAATAGTATTACATCATTTCTAAACAAAAAAAGACCTATATAGGCTAGGTGAAACATACTCATCAACATGCTCAGCACATAAAAGGTTATCCACACAAATTTTTTGCTAGCAAGCCCTATTTGATTGTTTCTTTCTCTGTTTTATAGGTTTAACAAAGCAGAATCTAAATCTTTTCACATACTGACAGATCTACTGGACTGATCCTGCCATTCAATCTTTATCTTTTTCAATTAAACCAGGTGAAAACGAGCGTTCACATTATTTAACTATGTGCAGAGCAAACAATAGCATATACTGTACTGCGTATGACATGACGTGAATTCAGTGGCACAGTGAGCTGTACAGAGACCTGAGTCATGTCTGCAGTGAGGAAAGAGCTTATCAAGGACGGTGGACACATGAATGAAAAGAGAAGAAAATGAGAGATGTTACCATGGCGTCACAATATAAGAAAACCGTTCGATTTCACAATTTCAAATAGCATGATCAACAATATGACAACCACTTTGGATGGTGAACATATGCTGTATAGAGGAATCTTCCCATAGTAACTCTGCTACTGCAAATTCATGCTGTTTTCTCAAAGTAAATACTGATAGGCAACTGATTTCTCTGGTTAACCTGCATAAATGATAAGATTTCTAACATAAGCAGCACAAAAAAAGTGACATGTGACGTGACATAAATATAATGATGTAAAGGATTAACATTTCAGCACCTTTTATACAATGCTACATAAAATGTAAAACCTAAGGAAATGCTTGAAGTAATTCAATAAACAATAAACTTTAGATTTGAAAAGTTCAGAGGCAAAAGCCTCTAAGTGCCATCTGACATTTTCTTCTAGAATGATCCTTTTTATCAAGCTCGTATATTTAAGTTCAGTAATTTCACTTTAATGACAATGACAATTACCAATTAATTGTCATTTAAGTGAAATTACTGAACTTAAATCTGCTAGCTTGATAAAAATGATCATTCTAGAAGAAAATTTCAGATGGCACGAGGCTTTTGCATCTGAACTCTTCATTTATTTTGATAGAAATCTGACATCCACACTTGCAACTGCCTAGAAATGATGCTGTCTTTTTAAACGATTGGGCTGTAAATGACACTGCAAACTCCACACTTGCACAAGACCTGATTAGCATTCACCTGTATAAATCAGCTTTAATGATAATATCTTTGAATGGCCTATGCTTTATCAATATATCAGAGAAAGTTTCAGTTTAAGTGAAGTTCTCTTATCTAGACAATTATGTCCTGTCAGCCTAGTTTCTATCTTAAATTGGATTAATTTCTGACGGATAATGCAGGAAAATTCTAATTGATTGCGTTTTACCGCAGCTAGCAGAAAGTCAATGTAATAAAGAGTCACATGAAATGTAGGCTAGTTTCAATTCCGTTTCAAAATTATGCTGTAGCTATATGAGAGGAAACGCACAGCAGCTGCTTCGAGACAGAAGAGCAACAGTTTGAGGCTCATTTATTTAAATCTTTGTCAGGAAGATTTATTCAAATCAACGTGGCCTTCAAATTTGAAACGCAAACATTCTTCAATGAAAAAGCATCCAAACTATCTATAAATCCTTGGACCTGACATATTTGTTTGAGGACTAACTAGGTGTGTTAAAACTGCATTGCTTTTCTTTCGTCGATGACTAATTACGTGGGGAACCGGATGAAATTAAGTGTTGATACTCACAGGTCCGAACGAGCAGGCTAGGAATAAAATCAGCATTCGCTTAGATATATCCATTTCAGCCGGCTTAGCAGTTGACTGAGAGCGCTTGACAAAAGTACCGTTGCACAGAGACAAGTTGACGGCAAAAAAGTAACTGACAAAGAATCCGAAGCGTCAGCCAACTATGCGCTGCGCGCGCGGGCGCTCCGGTGCGCGTGGGTTCACCAGTCGTACTACGCCGCGAGACCTGTCCATGTTTCCCCTTAATCCAAAACACACTTCATTCATAAACGACTCTGGAATGATCCGAAGCCATTCACAACTGCCGTTTGCATAAACCACGTAGACACCTGACACGCGCGAGGTGGATTGTAAAAATCCAAGGTAGTCGATCCACGTCCTAAACCCTCACTTCCAAAATAGGTGTGTGTGTGTAGTCTATAGTAGCAGCACACCCCTGAATAACAGCGCTAAATGACTCATTCTCTGTCTTAACAGCACAGACAGCACAACTTCTGCGCTCTTTCATTTAGTGCGCAGATTTTGTTCTCTTGTAAACGGTCACCCGCGCATCTTTTACTAATTTTTCTCTTAAATTAAAACTAAAACAGAGCTCTGAACTATTAAACTACCATATATCACAGCTTCTGATTTCATCTGTTTCCCATCGAACAACAATTGTTCTATCAAATTATTTTCTGTAGTTAAACGGTAGGCTAGACCTAGCCTATAGTTTTTTGAAAGATCAGTGAGCTGAGAGTATGTGAACCCTGACAAATGAAAAGGAATATCAGTTTTTTAGGGCATGTACACTATTTCACATACATTTCCTTGAAAGCTGCTCTGGTACATTCACTTCTCTTGTTCTTCTGGCAGGTTCTTTCAAAAACAAGAAGTGACTATAAGAGGCTCATGGGGTGGGTTGGCTAATCTATAGGCTATTAGACTCCATTATACTTTCAAAATGAACGATTTCATGCTTCAAGCACATATGCATATCCGCTTTTGATTACATTTCTACACAAATTAAATAAATTTCCATGAAGGCATTTATTTAGATTACAGAGGCACTTCCACCAGTGAGTTATTGGTGATTATTGGCAACTTGGGATGGCAAGGGCTCACATATTTACATTGGCGTGTTTACATTATTGTCTTATATGATATGACATGTTCAATATTAGCCTACATAACATAGGCATTCCTTCAGATTTACTGCTCATTTAAATGCATTGACTTTATGACATGCTGCACCAGCACACAGAATTGCACCCTTCACCATTACTAACTGCAAGCAAAGAATTTATACAACTGGAAAAAGACAAAAGTCAACAATTTATGCAAAACATGTGTGCAACATTTTCTGTAATTTATTTGTTGATATTTAGTAGCTAAAACAAAAAGTGCAAAATACAGTCAACCATGCATTAAATGACCTTCCGTACACTCATAATATGGCCAAAAGATCTGTGAATACAAATACGCACATGAAACAAGCAAAAACATCATGCATTTAATTTTTGTGTAATTGCATCCTGTTTTTTTTTTTTTTTTTTTTTGTTGAATGTGCCTTTAACTCTTGTGAAATTGAATCCTGGTGTTTTGTTGCGTTTTGTTTGGATGAGTCACAGAACGCAGATCTGAGGAATGCCATAAAATCCTAATCATGGAATAAAACAGCTGAAAAGTAAGACAGTGCCATATATGACCTCAAAAGTGTTAGTAAAAGACAGTTTAACTGATTTTCTGAACTACTGTGTGTCATCAACTTCCCTTATCAACAATGTGTCATAGACTTATGGCAATGCCTTACCTTTACAAATACATCAGAATCTTAACACATAAGTTTATCTTATATTAGCAGTAGTCTTTTTGTGCTGCCAGTCTAAAGAAGGAAATATGCCTTCACATGTGGAATGGAAGAGCTGAAACCTTTGCTTTTGGCTGTGGCTCTGTGATGGAGAAGGAATATAACACTCCTTATCTCATGCCTAATCTATCACTATCTCCTGGACTCTATCCTCCTTAAGCCCACATCCTGTTCAAATCTAGAGGTGCGTCTCAATTTGCGTGCTTGTGCACTATTCTACCCCATTTTGTAGTATAAATAGTGTGAGCAGTGTGTTCATGCTGAAAATTCCAAAAAGAAAGAGTGTACTCTAAATACCTGGATGATGCACTAACAAACAGTGTGGAATGTTGGACTCAACAGTCACAGCTTTCCTTATACATAGCAGAGGGGGGAGGCTATCAGACTCTGATGCTGGATGGCAAAATAACATTATACTATACACTATGTAGTGTATGAATTTGATGAATTAAGTGCTTGTGTATGAGACACAACTTTGGAACAGGGGGGCGGTAACCGTGTAAATGTGCAAGGCCTGTCTGAATTAGAACAAGCCCTTACTATCAACAAGCAGTCTCATAAATTACACAGAGGCAACAATGAGTTTAAACTTTGAGAATTATACTTGTCATGTCCTGTCAGTTTAGATACTGTGAATAAAGCGGCGGAAATATTGATTTAAATTTAAATTATTTTGTGAACGCTTCCACTACACAACAAATGTAGAAAAGTATCAACCAAGCCACATGATGAACATTGCAATAATATTTTAGTAATATTAATATTCCAGTCACAATCAATAACTAAATTGCAAAATTGCGCCAGCTGCATTTGATTGAAACAATAGAGCGCAATTCTGCGATGTGATAAAAGAGGCATGGTTTCAGTCAGGAATAGGGTCTTGCCACGGACAACAGCTAATATTAGGAAATATCGCACCTGGCTGGCTCAATTGACCAATGAGAACCGAGTATTCCAGAGAGCAGAGTAAAAAAAAAAAAATTTTATGCCGTTTGATTATCGCGTCACACTTTATTCATAAAGTGTGGAGCGATAGTTTATTAAACGTTATTTATAAATTCCTAGTTAGTTTATATCCTCATTGTCATTGGTCGAAAAGGAAATAACTAGGCCTAAGTTTTGTATATTCAATCACACCCAAAAATCAACATAGGAACAATGACTGTCTTATACCTAAGCTGAGACTTTTGGTCACAGCTATTAATATTAAAGTCGAAATGAAATGTAAGTTGCAATAGTCTTTTCTTCCCTATTGTGACGTACTGTGTAAGTGAAACGGCTGCTCAAACAAGAAAAAAATGTCTTGTCTTAATTTTGTCCATCAGGAATTTATTGGACGGCTGTGGTTTGTTACAGCTGTGATGTCATGTGAGTGACAGGATGTCCCGCCCTCCCGCCATAAACACTGGGAAGATATTTTGATTAAAGATTACGACTTTAATTAAATTAAAGATATGCACAAATAAATTATTTTGAATAAATACTGCAATATTCCTTTAAAAAAAGAAATGTCAATTTGGATTTCATGGTAACTTTAAAATAGGGCACATGAAAACTCTAGATTACAATACGAATATATTCTTCTATAGTGTACGTTTGCTACAAATTCTTATATGCACAGTACTGGATTAAACATTGTTCAAGCCTCATCACATTCAAATCAGCATAGTAATATATTTAAGGCTACAACAATAAGATTTATGACGTATAATCCAAAGCCAATATTCTAAACTAAGTAAAATAATATTATTTTAAAGAATAATCTGCCACCAAAAGTGTTTACTTCTTCAAAGAGGAGAGTCACTCAGGCACTCACATTTATTTTAATCATCTTAAAGCTGTGCCTCCAATAAAAAAATACCCACTAGGCAAGGTAAAACGACAGAAGTGCAGAAGTAAAAGGAAATTAAATCAAAGAGGTTTGATGCTTTGGGCAGAAAAGGGAGTAGGCTATAGTAATTCATAAGCGTTTGGTCAAATCAATTCTCCAAATGTAATAGGGTCAATGACAGACACGAAGGTGAACCTGTTGACTCAGTTTACCCTTTGGCAATTCAGCATGAAATCTGGTTAGAGATCAGTTTGCACATTAAAGCAATGAGGGTTTGGGAAATAGTTTATGGCTTTTTTGTCCTTGAGAGAGAGCAGACTTACTAGCAATACAGGTAATTCTTAATTTGTTTGCTCCTGTTTTTACCCAAAAAGAACTCTGTGTGAATGTTTATGGTGGACTACCTACTGAACATTTTTATTGTAATGCAGAGATTTGTGTGTTTGGCCTCAGTGTTGATTAAACAAACAAATACCACACGTTAAACTTGCTGTTTGAATACCAGAGACTCTGCACAAGTCACGGCCTGCGTAAGGAATCGTGTGCCAGTGTACTTTGGGAAAATTCACAACCTGTCTCAAAAAAGAGACCGCATCCAACTTTTGCACATCCAACTGATTAAAATGATTCACAAGAGAGAAAAAAGATTGGTATTTTCACTGCAATGAGCCAGACACTTCATAATACTATCTGCAGCTGTTCCATATTTGAGGGTATTACCAAGTGAAATGCCTGAATGTTAAATACATTGGACAAATTGATTCTATTGATTGAAACCTGAATCATCCGTGATACTGCGCATGTGGAGGCTTTTAAATGAATGGGAATTACAGTGATGCGACATGGTGAACATGTAAACAAATCAGTTGTTAGTATGGATTGCAAAACAGCTTCTCTAGTGGTTGACATAAGTCCTTAGTCAGGTTAGACGCCATATTGAATTTAACAGGGATCATGAAAACAAGGCTGTGAGAAACAGTGCTTTACAATGGCACGCTTTTAAAAGTTGAGTTGTGAAAATTTTGATCTAAGACCTATCACATCATTTTCACAACTTTGTCATCTGAATTTTTTTTTTCTGAAAGACGTTTTGTCAGCTGAACAACTGGTGTGTTGTTAAAGAACAGTACAATCCATTAAAGGCTCTGCAATTCTATCCCTCGCTGCCTCGTACTCAATCATGACAAAAATGAAATAAGGCGCTATAATGACTAAGGGGATTGTCCTGTTTTTTTCACCGAATAGATTATTTTGATGTGATGCTCTGCTAGTTGGTCGACAGAGTTTTTCCTCATAATTTGAATTATCAAAAAAAAGAAACTGAAATGATCAAACTAAAATGGTCTCTTGCTTTGGACTCTCACATCAGGGGCTATGTGTCTGTGGTGACATATTCAGTAATGACTGAGCAGCAGTAAGTCATTTAAGTGGCAGATGTCAATGATTTGCTCCCGAGACAGAGGTCTTGACCAACATGATCTCTCTGTAGAGTCTAATCTCAGAGACTCAGAGGATATATATATATATAATAATGACTGACAACCATCTTATCCTTTATATCCAATACCGTGAAAGCAGTCAGAGATCTTTGTATAATGATCTTTGACCAATTTTATTTAAGAGTTATGTTATCAAACACAAACACTCAATGAAGTCATCCATTTCCAAGCGTGTTAATTACAGCTGTTACATTGATGTAATGAAATTCCATTCGGTTTGAAATACTGC